TTTTTTCTTTAAAAATTAATCAAACCGTTTACTAATGTCAAGTTTAGTATGATTTGGAATATTTGGAGCTGTAAACTTGACCTTACTGACAGATCTTTAACAAAGTCTTTGTATCGAAATGGATATAGTTGTATGCATTTGGTATCTATAAGACATTGTACACACAATGTATAAAATATTTGATTGGATGAACTCTGCCTTTCCAATAATGGAATTTATTAAACATTATCCATGATGTGATAACTTAATTACTTTGTTTCCCAGAAAAGAACTCAACTTGCTGCAGAAGCTGTATGGATTGTATGACACCGTAATGGGCAGTATTAGTGGTTATTATGAAATACTTTGGGGAGATGTAGATATTGAAAAAATTAATGCAGAACTGCAGGAATTTCAAAACAGGTGAGTTTCAGCGGAATTTTTTATAACGTCTGTCTTCTTAAGGTCCTATAGGATAAAGTAGATTATTAGCTTATTTCAGAAGCTAATTTATTATAATAAATTAGCTTATTTCAGAAGCTAATTTTTTCCCTAATCTACCACTGTATATACATAAAACCTTCTTCAAAGAAATGCAAAGGTGGCATTTTTTTCTCTTTTTTTCTGAAAGATGTCGTAAACTTCCAAAAGGACTTAAAGATTGGCAAGCTTTTTTGGATCTGAAAAAAAGAATTGATGATTTCAGTGAGTCATGTCCTCTACTGGAAATGATGACCAATAAGGCCATGAAACAGAGACACTGGGATAGAATCTCCGAGTTAACTGGCACCCCATTTGATGTGGAATCTGATTCTTTTTGCCTTAGAAATATCATGGAAGCACCACTCCTTAAAAACAAGGATGATATTGAGGTACAAAAGTATATATATTCTTATCAGTGATCCATTAAAGAAAGCTTCCTTTTCCTTTTCTGAGATTTGTACAGATATTTTATGAGAGGTTGGATTAATTTCCCTCTATAATGCACCCTCAAAATTTGGGATGATCCTTAACATTATTGGCTTTTATGAAATAATCTTGTGACTCAATGAGATTATATGATTATTTGAAATACATTATTTGAAATACATTTGCTTTAGAGCCCTTCAATACATCTTCCTTGTCCCCAAAATATACTTCCCCTTAAAAACATATCTGTTTATTTATGTATTGTATTCTTGGTGGATACCTCTGAACTATTTTCCAAATTTCTAATTTTATACATTTTCCTATTCAGATCTATTAAGTTTTTAGAATTTTCTATTATTACATGTTTACTTTCTAAGATTTTTCATTGGTCCTTTTTCTGTGGCCACCTTTAAAAAAATTTTTTTTACATTAACATTTTTTCTGTCCTTTTTGTAGATTATTAGGTCTACAGATATGTAGATTATTAAATCTACATATATTCCCAGATCTGTAAGTTTCAAATGTATAGATTTATAGATGTCTTTGCTTATCTCTTTGAGCACTTTAAACATGATTATTTAAAAATTTTTCACTATGGAAAATTTTAAACATATACAAAAGTAAAGATCTCCTTGCTCTAACATTTATCAACTCATGGCCAATATTATTTTACCTGTACCTCTTGTACTTCAACAACTCTAAATTAAACATAAAGATTTTTTCAGATTCTTCTTTAAGATTAATTTGATCTGGACTGAATTTTTGCTGTTAATGTTTTTTATGTCGGCTATCCTCTGAGCCTTAGATTTTTTTCATGGGTTTTGTAATTTTTATTGAGATGGGGGGGCTCGTTTTGAATGGAAGGTTTTCACAAAATCTGGCTTATATAATGTGTTATATCTTAGTTCGTGTCTTACTTTTCCTTGTAAGTGGCCTTGTGTAGTGGCCTTGTGTAGTGGCCTTGTGGTTGCCTCCTCCACTGCCCGTGTTTCCTCAGCCCCAAGTCCAGAGCCAGGTGTTGTAACAAGAGTCTCCATCCCCTACTGTGCTATGGTGTGAGGATCCAGGCATGTGCTGACCTGTTTCAGGTCCTGGTTGCGGGGCTGGTTTTGTGTCACCCCATCCCCCACGTCCATAGTTCCAGTTAACCTAGTGGCCTAGATGGCAGCTGGAGGCAGTGTTTGCAGCCTCCTCCTGTGAAGGAGATCCCAGCCAGGTGCTCCTTCTCCAATAGATGACTTTTCTCTTCTTCACCCCATGGGAACCAAAGGCCTGGCCCCAGTGGCCCAGGCTCTCAGGCCTGTGTTTTACCTCCACCAACTGGTTTGCATAGCTTTTCTACTTTTGGTTCATGGACATGTTTATCTTATTTTTAAGCCTGGCTCTGCTTTTTTACTGACTTAAAAAAATTATTTTATCCATTATTCCATGTTTTTGGAGTTGAGAAAATGTACCATGTGACCATAAATCTCCCAAATATATGGTTTGGGTTTTCTGCCTTCCTCTAACCTCTTTTTAATAATATGCGTACACAGAAAGGTTTTCTTTCAAAGCATTTCTGTCCTGTTTAAGCAAATGAGATATTCATAGGACCAGACAGGCAGGAATATAGTAATATTTATATGTTACTTGAAAGAGTTTAAAAGACTCTCATGTATATTCTCATTTGATTCTCATAGCTAGCTAACATCTGGAATAGACAGGGCAGCTGTCATTATCCCCATTTTAGCCAAAACCTCCAATTGAAAACATAATAAAAAATGACGATTTAAATTACATTGTTTCATGTATGTGGTACAGAAGAATAATTAGTAGTCACCAAATCACAGGGCTCTAGTGTCAAGATGCAACACAATGATTTGAAGCCTTATTTCTTGGCTGTAAAGTGACTAATGAACTGGGTGACTTTCAGGTCCCTTTCAAGCTAAAAAAAAATGCTATGATTTTTATGATGTGCTTAACTTGTAGCTGAAAACATCATGACATATCCTTTGCTTTTCCTCCAAAGGATATTTGCATATCTGCCATTAAGGAGAAGGATATCGAAGCCAAGCTGACTCAGGTGATTGAGAACTGGACCAACCAAAATCTGAGTTTTGCAGCATTTAAGGGAAAAGGAGAGCTCCTGCTCAAAGGAACCGAATCGGGAGAAATTATCACTTTGATGGAGGATAGTTTAATGGTCTTAGGGTCCTTACTCAGCAACAGGTAATTTTATAATTTGGGGGAGAGATTTAAATCGGATATTTAGGGTTATAAAATTCTAAGTAAAGGCTCAGTTTTAAAGCTATGGCATTGGATAGGATTCTGCCCTAGACTGCTAGATCTTGTCTGTCCCTATATGAACTGTTTGTTTTCCCTAATACACATGGCCTCCATCTCTTCTTTGATGCTGCTCATCTACCCTTCCCTATTTTTTCTGATGGGCCCCATCCTAATTATTCCTCCCCAAACTGGCAGCTTGTCCTTTGAAAGTCTTGGCTCCCCACTGAGATGACCTCTTCATTTTATCGTTTCTCTTCTTTGTTCCTCTGGTTTGACATCATTGACCTCTTGGTTTACCCTGTTCAAGCAGTCACCCAATAGCCCAGGAAAAGCCTGCTGGCCACAGGTGAAAGCAGTCTACCATTAGGGGCTTGGCACTTACTTAGAGACTTTCATTTTTTATGGTGAAAAGAGGCTGAGACGATTATGGCCTGATGAGGTCACCTGTTCATCATTGAACCATGGACCAGCTTGAAGTTGCCTATGATCTTAAGTGTAGCTTTAGGAAATTCCTGTAGGACTCAGTCAAATTAAATATTCTGTCAGGTCTTTGATCTGGGCATTGGCAACCTCCATTCCTCTCGCTGACTTTGCGGTAGTTCTCAACTATTCTTCACCTGAACACACCTAAGAAATATTTAATATCCCTTCTCCAGGTTGGGATCACTGGTTAGTGAGTGGCATCCTGCATGACCTCTACCCCCAGGGGCAGTCTTGTATTTGCATAATGACAAAGCTGCCAGTTCAGGGAGTTCTGGGTTGAATTCATAAAGGTTAAGGTCCTCAGATGCATCCTCTGCATTCAGAGAATCCTGGCAAAGGTGACCATAGGATATTAGGTGGTTCCTAGACTTCATAGGCTACTGTTTCCCCATGGTTCATTGCAAATTTTGCCGTCTGACTGCCTGTCAGAGGAGGGCTGTAGATTCACCTGGCCAGTGTCTGCAGCCAAGGAATTCAGGATTTGAAGCCTTTCTTAAATTCATACTTACTTGGACATAACCTGATTAGTATAATACTTATTTGTGTATTAGTAAACCTCAATGTTTGCAGACTTCTAGGCCTTGCCAGAAGAGTATAAGGATAGCTAAGAAGTCATCACATTCTGGGAGAGTCTCCTCCTAGAGAACTTTGCCGTGCCTAGTAGGTCTGGAAAGCATGTTTCAGAACTAACCACAGACTGCCCTAGTAGTGAGTAGTGCCTGCTGGATCTCTAAGACTACTTTGATGTGACTTCAGAAGGAAGTTATATGTCTCCTTGGCGAGACTTGATTATAGATATTGCCTGGATTGTGACACTTCCCTAGTGGATCCCTGATTCCATGGGACTTCATGGGTCCTGGTGGGTTTGACCACACAAAGTTGTACAATGCAGGTATCTGGCCAAAGGACAGAAGCTAGCTATGCTAGATTTTATTTCAGATCTCCTGTTTCCATCTTTAGAAATTATACACCATCAAGGATGACTCTTTTTATTCTCTGTGCAGAATCATTTTTGGTCTGTCTAGTTGCTTCATCTCCCTAAACTGCCTGCCTATGCCATGTTAGTTTACATGTCTTTATTTGGAAGATGTTTTTGGCATATTGACTGCCTTTCAGCTCTAGACCAGTGGCCAGGTAAACAGTATAAATTGAGTGTTGGGAAAAATGCCTCTTACTGCCTGAACAACTGGATTACCTACCTCCTTGAAGCAATTTGTGTACATCTCCATTTGTAACTTCATGTATAACATAGGCTTTCAGGGAAGTTATGGGTTGTATTCAGGCATCAGACTGTACCCAGAAAAACCTCATTCTGCGTATGAATATCTTCAAATCACTCTGTCCTAGATCAAGACAAGTTTGAAGATCCTAGTCAACAAGTGCCTCTCACCAGCAAATGTCACTGCACCACATTGAAACTACTTGCCCTTAGCACACACAGCAGTCAGCTTCTTGCTCTAACTGTAGGTAGTTGGGGTTTTTACCCAGTAACCTCCCATTGCTACCTCCAAGACATCCATTCTATTTCTTGTCTTCCTCTGTGTGCTCAGCTTTCTGGACTCCTTGTATTCTCATAAACACTTCAGCAAGCCCTAATAATCAGAAAACAGGAGCCATGCTATTGTGGGGCAGCAATCCTGGGTCTCTAGCATTGCAGAATCTGGTTGCAATACCTGGTGTAATTTGCTGTCTGTGGGTGGGAAGAGCACACCTGTAAGTGAACATCAGACCTCAAGCTTGACCCTGGCTTTGTGGTCATCTTTCTCCAGGGGAACCTGGTGATACCTAATCCTCTCCTGGTCTTTAGGGATCTGATTTGTCCTGTCCTTTTAGAGATAGTCTGTCTCTTGCTAGATGAAACCTTTAAGACCATTCATAAAAGGAAAATCCCTGGATAGTGGTCTCTTTCCCTAGATTCAATAGTTCCATGGACCAATAACAGTGTCTTATGTGTTACTCTCACAGGCAGTCCCCACTTGGATTTGGTTCACAGAAGTTTTGGAAAACCATCTTATTCCTTGTTTGCCATTTACTCCCAGAAGCAACTAGCACAGTTCCTTTGCTGGACCTAAGTACCATAAAACTAGGCCCATTCTCCTATTCTATGACTGACACATGGGAACAATAAGTAAAATCACATAGGGATATGAGTTTTATTCATCAAAAGCAACCGTTTTTATTAGCTGTATGAGAGCTAGTAGGAACTGCCCTTTTAGGACAAAACATTCATTCCCAAAGTAGTATTTCTTTTGTAATTTACTTCGGTAAGGCGGTACTATTTTCTGAATCTTTGAAATGTGATCTTTTCTGTTCTTACCTTTTAGATACAATGCTCCATTTAAAAAAACTATCCAGAATTGGGTGTATAAATTGTCCACTTCCTCAGATATAATTGAAGAGTGGCTTGTAGTACAGAACCTTTGGGTTTATCTTGAAGCCGTCTTTGTAGGTGGAGATATTGCCAAACAGCTGCCTCAGGTAAATACAGCTTTTGTAATTACTGATAAAATAACTTGGTGTATGTTGTCTTTATGTCTCCGTAAACGTCTTCACAAAGACATATGGTCAGGGCTTGGCTATGCCAGGGTTTGGCAAACTATGGCCCACTTGCCTGTTTTTGTAAATAAAGTTTTATTGGAACACAGCCACATCCATTCCTTTATATATTGTCTGTGGCTGCTTTAGCACCACAACAGCAGAGCCGAGTAGTTATAACTGAGATTATATGGCCCAAAAAGTCTGAAATCTTTATTATCTGGCCCCTTACGGATTTTTTTTTAAAGTGGTGACCTCTGATTAGCAGAAAGAAGAAACTCACATAGTTTTAAACAGTGAATAATCACGAGGTTGCTTGAGGATGTGAGGTACATTCAAATACAGTACTATAAAATTATAGTAGCTCACCTCTTCTAAGAGTTAACCTCATGATAGTCCTCTGAGTGTAGTATTAAAATTAACCTATATTCTGTAAGCACAGATTAACTTTAATGATTAGTAAGTCTACTACTAGCAGATCAGAAGAATAGTGTGGAGCAAGAAAACAGCCTTGGGAGGCTGTAAAAAAAACCTTTAAAACAGCTCTATTGGGGTCTTTTAAATAAATTCCAATAACTATAATAACTGATAGTTTTGGTCTATGAAGGTAACTTTCCTCTTAGAAAATCAAGCCTGCTCTTCCTAAACTTCTGTATTTACAAACAGGACCTATATAGGTTAAAAATCAAGGATAAAAGAGTTTTTTTTTGAAAGTGGCCGAATTCCTTTGTACTATAGCACATTTTTAAAGCCTTAAACCGAAATGTATCATTTTTGTTTTTTAATCAGAAGGCTGTATTTTTAAAAGAGGCAAGATTATGCCAATTTCTAGAGGCATTTTTGCAATTGAGTGCAAAGCTTAATATCATTCACAGTAAATAGAAAATTTTCACTTGCAAAAATATAAATGAAACTTTGTTTTGTGGTTTTACTGTGTTTTTTTTCTTTTTTCCTCCCTGCCCTGGGGTACTATTGAGCTGTAATTATTCCAAGAATCCTGAGATCAAATTATTTTCATGCTGCTTCAGCTTGCTCGTCAAACCAAAACACCTGGGGTGCTGAAACACTAGATTGGAACTTTAAGTTGATAGTTCTGCAAATTAATCATATGGTACTTTGAAAAACATATTAAATACAATGAAACAAATAAGCAATAAGCCCCATTGTGATAAAGTAGCATTTTAATATGCAGTTTTATAACTTTGGGTTTGTGTCATGCAGAATTAATTCAAATGAAAAAAAATTGTCTGTTTAAATTATGCCTGAGACTAATGGAGGCTGGTTTGAAGAACTATAGAAAATTCCAGGGTGAAGGCTTTGCTTTTTTTCAGTTATCCAAATGCTAATTTTTACTGGCTATGGATTCGTTTTCAGGAAGCAAAACGTTTTCAGAATATTGACAAGTCATGGATAAAAATAATGCAGCGAGCTCATGAGAATCCCAATGTGATTAATTGCTGTGTTGGAGATGAGACCATGGGACAACTTTTACCTCATTTACATGAGCAGTTGGAAGTGTGCCAGAAGTCACTGACAGGGTAAGAGTTTAATTTTTAAATCATGTATCATTTTGTATGCGACCGTGTTTTATCCCAAACTTACTAGAATTGATTACATTTCTGGTTTGACAGTGATGGTTAAAGTATGGATAGAAACTTAAATTTCACATAGATTTAACTTTTCTGCAAGGAAGACACCTTTGTCTTAGGGATGGGTGGGTGAAGGCATTGTATTAGTTCCCTAGGGCTGCTGTAACAAATTTCCACAGACTGGTTGGCTTAAAGCAACAGAAATTCATTCTCTCACATTTGTGGTGACAAGAAGTCTGAAATCAAGGTGTTGGCTCCCTCTGAAGACTCTAAGAGAGGATCTTCCCTTGCCTCTTTTGGCTTCTTGTGGCTCTAAGAGTTTCTTGGCTCATGGCTACGTAACTCCAATCTCTCGCTGTCTTCACCTGGCCTTCTCCTCTTCTTCCTGTGTGTCTCTTATGACATTTGTCATTGGATTCAGGGCTCTTCAAGATCCTTAATCTCAAGATCCTTCATCCCCTTTGCAAAAGTCCTTTTTCCAAATAAGGTCACACTCACAGATTTCAGGGAATAGGAAAGACATGGACATGTGCACTAAGAGAACAATTCACCAGACAGATTCAGTTTTATTTTTATTTTCGTTTATTTATTTTATTTTTACCATCATAAGAGGATAGCTGTCAGGATAATTTTTTAAGGGGAGTTCATTTCAATTTCTATTTGAAATAGGGTGATAATACATCCTGGTTTGTCCAAGTTTATGCCTCTGTCCTGGCTTAATGGTTAGTTGTCCCCGCTTTCACTCTCAAAATGTGTTGGTTTGGAGTTAAGGTTTGTGCTCCCCCTTGGTTTAAGCCATGAGATTTCCAGCAGCCTTAGAAAAGTCATAGGAGGGCATCTGTTGATAAAGGAAAGGACAGCAGATGATGGAGCAGACTTGCTCTGATTCTCTTGTTTTCCCAAGTGCCATCCATGGTGGAACATGGACTTTGGTTTCCACCAAACATGCAGGGTAAGTGATAAATGACTTTAGGTGTTTGTTATTATCTTAGCAAAGATGTTAGTGATTATGTCTTGTCTAGAAAAATAATAATTTAGGGGGAAAAGCCACTTGGCAACATACTATCAACTTTATTTGTAGGTATTTGGAGAAGAAACGATTACTATTTCCAAGGTTCTTCTTTGTATCTGATCCAGTTCTCTTGGAAATTCTTGGACAAGCCAGTGATTCCCACACCATACAGGTATAATCCAAGAATCTATGATCAAAATTGCTTTTTCCACAGCATACACAATCAAGAATAAAACTGAAGTTAAAATATTAAAAATGCAGGCAGGAAAGAAGAGTACTACAAATTACATTGATCATAAAATGTATTTTCTGTGTATTTGGAGCCTGTTATCCTGAAGCAGTCCAGCCGTGTTAAGCAAGTCACTGACTATGCCACTCCTAGCTGTGTGACCTTGGCAAGCTTCCTAATTTCCCCATGCCTCAATTTCCACATCTGTAAAATCAGGATATTAATGTTTCTCACCTCACAGGACTGTCATGAGGATTATATGAGAGCATGCATAGCAAAGTCTCTAGCACACAGTATGTGTTTATTAAATCGAATTTATCATTATGAGTACTTTATTCTAAATATTCTTAGACCAAATAGGGGTTGTATTTTGGATTTGTCCTTTTTTCCTTCCAGAATACTTCTCAAATGCTTTTAGCCATTTCTCAGAGCAATATTTTGGAAGAGGAAAAGAAAAACCGTAGTGAACTGAGAGTGGGAGGCATGGAAGGGCCTATCCTGGGGCCAGTTCTTGTTTGGGGATCTGGGAAACGGCTAATGTTATTTCCTTGTTGGTTTCCAGGGACTTATAATGATGAGAAGAGAGAATGGAATGGCTCTGTGAAAGGTGGAGAGAGGAAAGGACTGAGCTATATCTTGTGGGGGAGGAGGGGTGAGGCAGTATGGTCCAGTCTCCATCTGGAGGAAGGTGGCAGTCCTTAGTCTAATCTGCATAGCATGAGAAGGAGCCATATGCGGACTTGGATAAAAGATTCTGTAGGGCTTGATTTTACAAAGTAGGCCTCCAAGCCAGTCAAGGGTCAAAGCAAGTCTCTCAATTTTTTGAGACAATGAAGTCAATTCTTAACCTTTTAAAAAGATACAAAATATTCAGGTTTTGTGTTCAGCCTCATGTGTGATGTTTTCCTCTGTCTTACAGCCGCATCTCCCTGCAATATCTGACAACATCAATGAGGTGACATTTCATACAAAAGACTACGATCGCATCATGGCCGTCATTTCAAGAGAAGGAGAAAAAATTGTTGTAATTTACCTTGCTTTAAATTTTGTTACTAGAATTTCTTTAAAAACTTATGTTGAGGAAAATGCAATTCTCTTATGGAAAAAAACAGGAGGAGAGATAGTTCTCATTCTCTAGCCCTGGGCTTTGTTAAAAACTAGTTTAGATAAATCCTTTAACAACTTCTCTTGAGACTCATTTTGTAATTTATAAAGTGAAAGTTTTAGACTAGGTAATCCCTATAGTTCCTTCCAGCTATAGTATTAGATGATTTTACCCATATTTAAAATATTTTGTATAAAATATGAAACTGTTTGCTTGTCATAGGGCACTGTGATTTATTAAGTATGCATGGGACATCTGTAAAAATGCCAAATTATTATCAATTTATAATATATTTGTAATTTTGTTTTAGTTGGATAATTCTGTTATAGCCAAAGGTCCTGTGGAGATTTGGCTTCTGGAATTGTTAAAAATGCAGATGTCATCATTACATAATATAATTAGATCCGCTTTCTATCAAATCAGTGATACAGGATTTCAGCTCTTACCATTCCTCAGCCACTTTCCAGCACAGGTGAGAATACACAATGCTTAAGTCATGGTGAAAAGAAATGGAAGTAAAGGGGAAGGTTGCTTAGGAGGTAGTTGGGCTGATGGTGTGAGGCAATTATAGCTTTGAACTAGTTAGAGTGGCCTACCCATGCTCATTTAAACCTCAGCTCCCAGCCACCTGCTTGTCAACCAACACCATTCTAGACCAACCCATCCCATCCGCCAGAAAAGGATATGTCACTATTTTCTCATCATTAAGGATATGTACATTGAGTCTAATAGATACATAATAATGTGTATGTGTGTGTATATATATATATATTCATTATTTTTAAGGTTTTTAAAAAAATGATTGACATTTACTTACTATCAAGTTAATTTAACATTTTTATCTGAAATTGTTTAAAATTCTACTTCTGCTTTCTTTTAAAATATGTTTCAAAGATTTGAATGCAATGGATCCTTGCTGCAAAAATTTGGAAAAATGCAAAAATTATAAAAGTGGAATACTTGGGTGATGGGTTGATAGGTGCAGCAAACCACTATGGCACACGTTTACCTATGTAATAAACCTGCACGTTCTGCACATGTGTCCCAAAACTTAAATAAAATAAAAATAAAAGTGGAAATAAGAATTTCCCATATTACTACCACCTAAAAATTATGACTATATTAATATTTTAGTGTATTCGCTTCTAATATTTATGTGTTTATTGCTGTTTTTCCCTTTCTTTTTTTAAATTGACATATAACTATTGTACATATTTATGGGCTGCATAGTGATGTTTTGATACACATATCTTGTGATCAGGTGAGAGTAATTAGCATATTCATCATCTCAAACACTTATCATTTCTTTGTGTTGGGAACAATCAATATCCTCCTCCTGCTATTTGAAACTATGTGTAATTCTTAACTATAGTTATCCTACAGTGGTATAGAACTGGGCCTATTAGGAACTAGGCTGCACAGCAGGAGGTGAGTGACGGGCAAGTGAGTATTACTGCCTCAGCTCTATCTCCTGGCAGATCAGCGGCGGCTTTAGATTCTCTTAGGAGGGCGAAACTGTTGTGAACTGTGCATGCGAGGGATCTAGGTTGTATGCCCCTTATGAGAATCTAAACCATCCCCCGATCTCTGTCCATGGAAAAAATGTCTTCCACAAAACCGGTCCCTAGTGCCAAAAAGGCTGGGGATCACTGGTATAGATCACTAAAACTTAGTCCTCCAACCTAGCTGTGATTTTGTGTCCTTTAGCAAATCTGTCCCTGTCCTCCTCTTTTCCTTACCTTTCCCAGCCTCTAGTGTCCTCCATTCTACTTTCACTTCTCTGAGGTCAGCTTTATTTTAGCTTCCATGTATGCGTGAGAACATGTGGTGCCTTCTCATATTGTATTTATTATAGGCGTCGAATAATGTTGATGAGAATGGGCATTCTTATTTTCTGTTTTTTTTTTTTTTTTTTTTTAATGAGACATCCTCTGTTTTTCACTGTTAACTTGCATGCCTTTTTAGAATGAGTATATAACATAATTTTAAGTTGTTCTTGGTGACTCAGGATAATGATTGTAAAGACTTGCCTTTGGATAGACACCATTATGCAGCAGGTGTTGGGGTCTGCTGGTCTGTTTGTCTTTAAGTCAGGCTGTCTTATGCTGCTATGCTTTTGTAGTTTTTCTCTTTGTCTTTCCCCACTTGGACCATCATCTGCTGCTCTCAGGGCCAGAATCTGCTTCCTCTTGGGGACTTCCTGACACTGGCTATTTTCTCCAGATCCCATTGCTCACTTTCACCAGGTGCTTTCATTTATCTGTAGCTTCAGCCCCCAGGATTGGCCACTGCTCTAGCAGGAAAAGTATCAAAGTCCCTGATAAGGCAGAGACAGAAAGAGGGCTTTAGTCTTCCTTTTCTCGTTGTTGAGCCCATGGCAAGCAGTATCTATATACTGCCCGCCTTGTTTGGTCCAAATGATGTTGGTCCAAATGATGTTGGATCTGCTATTCGACTCTGGATGAATAGTGAAGGGATGAGGGTGGGGCATGCTCAGAATACTTTTATTACCTTTTCTGGGGCAGAAATTGGAGCTTAAGGTGGCATCCTCCCACAATGTCTTTATGCCTTCATCAGGATACAAAGAACACAAGCTTCTCCCCTTCTCACTTTCTGTCTCCCTCTCTCTTCTATAGATAAATATAGAAACAAAAAGTAGACATTGGTAAAGATGTGGATATCAGAGAGAGGGAGCAATCAAGAAAGGAGCTAGGCTGCATATTGTTTTTAGAAGAACAAAGAGACCTTCAGAAAGCCATACTCAAGAACAAGTGAATAAATTCATTTGCTTTTCTTGAGAAAGAAAAATCATTGCATGGAAGTATATAATAATCTCAGGCCCTCTGTAGAAAAATTTCCTAAGCATCTTCAGTAACATACATATAATTCAACAAATGGTAGCCAGTATTTTAATGATCATTAATCTATCTACTTTGAAATAATTAAATATTAATAGTTAAAACTTTAACTGTTTCCCTCCTTTGGGAGTGAAGAAATGCAAGTCTATCTCATTTTTAGTTTAAAATGTGAACAAGTGACCACCAGATTTTATTACAGATGTGCTTTAAATATTTGGCCAATTTCAATATTTGTCTGCTGGATCTGTAGGTTGGACTTCTGGGAATTCAGATGTTGTGGACACACGATTCAGAAGAGGCTTTACATAATGCAAAAGATGACAGGAAAATCATGCAAATGACCAATCAGAAATTCCTGGATATTCTAAATACTCTCATTAGTCAGACAACACATGATCTCAGCAAGTTTGATAGAGTGAAATTCGAAACTCTAATTACCATCCATGTGCATCAGAGAGATATTTTTGATGACTTGGTAAGGTATCTTTTTCTTAATTAGGTGTACTAATAATGAATAGTTAAGAATTGTGTATGTTGCCTAACTTACGTGAAATTTCCATTTACTTGGTCCTTTTACGTAACTGTGTCCATCAATATCATGTCCACAATATTGTATATCTGTATTGGGTGGTTTAAACAACCATATATATTCATTTGGCACTCTGAAAGCCTGGAACCAACTGATGTGATATGAGTCAACAAGTTGTTATATTAAACCAAATAAACAGGAACATAATATAATTTAGGTCATAAGCTCTGTTGGGTTGATTGGAAAAGGAACACAGATTGAATGGAATCAGGCTTCAGGACACTCTCGTGGCTCTTCATCCAGTTGATGGTGATCATGGGCTTGATTTGGGCAAAGTTCTTTAGGGCAGGACTAAGAAGGGTAAGTGTTTGAATTCCTTTAGAAACAGGACTCTAGGGATCTATCCAAGATGGCCGTTTAGGAACAGCTCAGGATTGCAGCTCCCAGTAAAAGTGCAGAGGATGAGTGGACACCGCATTTTTATTGCCCACAGACCAGGAAATTCCCAGGCGGAGGAGCTCCACAGGTCACCAGCGTGACTGATTTGGCCAGTGTGGCTGTGCCGGCCGGCACCGCTGCTTTGCCCTACACGGCTGCTTTGCCGGCGCCCCGGAACAGCAGTTCTCCATACAAAATACACCAGTCCGGGTGCCCCTTTTGGCTGGTGATTGGAGCCACAGGAAGTCGCCCATTCGACTGTTTAAAAAGGGGACTGAGCAGGGAACCAGGACAGTAGATCCCAGGGCAAAAAAAGCGCCACGAATCTCAGTGCTGCTGTTTAAGCCAGTGCAGTGACTTGCTGCAGGGGAAAACACTGAGACCCGGCGCCTCTTCAACAGGCGACTGGAGCACCAACTTAAAAAAAAAAAAAAAAAAAAAAGGCTCTGAGGCAAGGAGCCAGCGATCAGGCTCGGCCGGTCCCACCCCCACAAAAGAACAGCAATCAGAAAGTCTCTGGATTGAGAGTTTCACAGCAAGCGCAGCTGAAGCCGGGACGGCCCAGCTCTGTGGGGGAGGGGCGTCTGCCATTACCGAGGCAGCCCACCGCTATGGAGATAGTCAGCCAATGGTGAGGCAGCACACTGTTGCCAAGGCAACCCACCACTGCAGAGAGACTCTGCCCCAACAGAGGCAGGCCACCATTGCCGAGGCAGTTCTAACTACACCCATATAAATAGGACTGCAGGGAAGTTCACTCGGCAGCTGGGCGGAGCCCACAGCAGCTCAGCAAAGCCTCTACAGGCAGACAGTGACTAGGCTGCCTCCTTGCTGGGCAGGGCGGCTCTGAAGGAAATAAAAAGAAGGCAGCAGCATAACAGAAACTCATAAAGCCCTAAATCCCTGGGACAGAGCACCTGGGAACAAAAAGCAGGTTATGAGTTCTGCTGCAGCAGACCTAAACGTACCTGCCCAGCAGCTCTGAATGAACAATGGAGCTCACAGCTCAGCATTTGAGCTCTTATAAAGAAGAGACTGTCTCTTCAAGCAGCTCCCTGACCCCTGTATATCCAAAGAGCCACCACATAAAGGAGAGATCAGATTGACATTTGGCAGGTACCCTTCTGGGACAAAGATAGCAGAAGAAGAAAACTGGTAACAACCCTTACTGTTCAGCTGCTGCTGCAGGTGAGCCCCAGGCAAGCAGAGCCTGGAGTGGACCTCAGCAGACCTACAGCAGAGGGGCCAGACTGTCAGAAGGAAAACCAAGTAACAGAAATAACCTCATCATCAACAAACAGAACATCCACTCAGAGACCCAATCTGAAAGCCAGCAACTACAAAGACGACAGGTGGATAAATCCATAAAGATGGGAAGAAACCAGCGCAAAAAGGATGAAAAGACCCAAAACCAGAACACCTCTCCTCCTAAAAGGGATCACAACTCCTCACCAGCAAGAGAACAAGGTTGGATGGGGAGCGAGTGTGATGAAATGACAGAATCAGACTTCAGAAGGTGGGTAGTAAGAAATTTCTGTGAACTAAAAGAACACGTTCTAACCCAATGCAAAGAAACTAAGAACCTTGAAAAAAGATTTGACGAAATGCTAACGAGAATGGACAAAATAGAAAGGAATATAAGTGAATTGATGGAGCTGAAAAATACGATACGAGAACTTCGCGAAGCATGCACAAGTATCAACAGCTGAATTGACCAAGCAGAAGAAAGGATATCAGCGGTCGACGATCAACTCAATGAAATAAAATGGGAAGACAAGAATAGAGAAAAAAGGGTAAAAAGGAATGAACAAAGTCTCCAAGAAATGTGAGACTATGTGAAAAGACCTAATCTACGTTTGATAGGCGTACGTGAATGCAACGAAGAGAATGAATCCAAGCTGGAAAATACTCTTCAGGATATTATCCAGGAAAACTTCCCCAACCTAGCAAGGCAGGCAAATATTCAAGTCCAGGAAATACAGAGAACACCACAAAGATATTCGTCAAGAAGAGCAACCCCAAGGCACATAATCGTCAGATTCACCAGGGTTGATATGAAGGAGAAAATACTAAGGGCAGCCAGAGAGAAAGGTCGAGTTACCCACAAAGGGAAGTCCATCAGACTCACAGCAGATCTCTCAACAGAAACCCTACAAGCCAGAAGAGAGTGGGGGCCAATATTCAACATCCTTAAAGAAAAGAACTTTCAACCCAGAATCTCCTATCCAGCCAAACTAAGCTTCATAAGTGAAGGAAAAATAAAATCCTTTGGGAACATGCAAGTACTCAGAGATTTCGTCACCACCAGGCCAGCTTTACAGGAGCTCCTGAAAGAGGCTCTACACATATAAAGGAACAACCAGTAACAGCCACTCCAAAGACATGCCAAATGGTAAAGAGAATCAACACAATGAAGAATCTGCATCAACTAATGGGCAAAACAGCCAGCTAGCACCAAAATGGCAGTATCGAATTCACACATAACAATATTAACCCTAAATGTAAATGGACTAAATGCCCCAATCAAAAGACGCAGACTGGCAAATTGGATAAAAAGCCAAAACCCATCGGTGTGCTGTATCCAGGAAACCCATCTCACATGCAAGGATACACAAAGGCTCCAAATAAAGGGATGGAGGAAGATTCACCAAGCAAATGGAGAGCAAAAGAA